TATATACTCACAATTTAACGGGGAATTGAAAATTAGTAGATTTGACCATGATAATAATAATAATTACATCAGATAATACGGAAATATTTGCTTCTTATTACCCTTTCCGTATATTTTAAGCTTGTAATTCATTTAATAAACATTTATTTTGTATTTATTTGTCCTTATTTTCTTATTTTAAATTTTCTGTTGTATATTTAAATAGTTACTTGAAATTTAAATTTATAAAATGATTTTTTACAGTTTAAGTTTAAATTTCATATGTCACGAGATGTGTTCTCTTTGATATTTAGTACAGATATTCTTGTACATTTTTGTACAACTATTAGTATTGGTACATTTTCTGACGTTAAATATTAATTACGTGTGTACATTTTGTTCCTTTTACTTAAATTTAATTAAAGAAATTGTATTGTAGTTTCGGTTTATTATAAATAATTTTAAGTTGCTGTAGGTAATTCCGACACTGAAATAAAAAGTAATTATTTTTCCCTTTTAAATGCACACATTGCGGTTGAAAAATGATATATGGTAGAAACAAAAAATAGAGTAAATGCCACAGACTTTTTTTTTTTGACATCTTATTTTTAAAATCTTAAATTTATTTTACATTTTTTAATTGCCAAAAAAACTACATTTATTGCTAATAATTTTTCATAATTTTTTATTGTCAATAGATAGCGCCAGGATTAGAGAAAGGCTGACTTGGTTCCCAAGAATGACTGATTTATTCTTCCTCACTAGAAAGCGGTTCAAATCGTTTCAGGTTACGTGGTGCGGAAAAAATAGTGCGGCGTCGATGATTTTTAAGAGCAGAAATAAGTAGTAGGAAGTTTATGAATACTTCTGCTTAAATAGAACTTTTTAATCATGAACTAGAAACTTGTTTAATTTTTTTTCTATATCACTTAATTGCAATTAATGACCTACTTTAATATTATTAATTTTCATAGTTTTTGTATTGGACTAAAGGTTTAATATCCATTTTTATTGATCAAAATTATTTTTCTCTTGTTTACACGCATCATATAATAGTTAGGTTTCTAACTTATGGTACGTAAGTTTTGTTTAATTTTTTATTTTGTCAATAATATTTTGTTTACTAAAATATTGGTGTTTAAGACATTTAAATTTAGTGTGGAAATTTGTGTGTTTTGGGAATAATTTTTAATTTATTAATTCTTATTTTGAGTAGGCATTCTCTTTCTTGCGTGAATTAATCATAAAATATCTATACACAATTTTTCTCTTCTTTAATTTTTAATTATTCAATGCTAAAACTTTCAAATATAACCCGAAGCAAAACTTTCATTTTTTAAGTAGATTTAAATAATAGTGATTTCTTTGCTTAAGAATATTCCTTAGAGGTATAAAATTAGGGTAAAGTAAGGGCAACAAGTAAAGGGATATTTTATTATCACTGCCAAAGTGCTTATTTCTTCGCAAATTTTTTAAAAAGATATGTTTTATTTTACTGGAAGCTTTTTTCTGGGAAAAAAGTTGATCCTCTTCTGCTTTTTTTTTTAAATGAAGTTTTTTTTAAGCCTTTGCATGAAAAATGAATTTATATTTGACATTTTGATATATTGCTAGATTATAAATTAAACTTAATATGAATTTTAAAAAAAATTGAACCTTTTATTCATAAATTAATCAGGATATATCATGGCCATGAACTGGTAAAACATTGAATCTAGGGTGACCCGGGGTAATTCATGATCACTCTGTTTCTGGGGTAAATAATGATCACCTAAGTTTTATTTAAAAAAATGATATTTTTTTAAAATTTGAGACATGGACAAGAATGCTTGTTCACTTTACTAAAGTATAACTACATTTACTTAATAACAGTTTTTTGTTTAATCTAACAAAATAAGTATCTTTTAAACTGCTTTCTGTATTTTCCATTTCAAAGATGGGTTTCAAAATGTGCACATTTCTGCAAAGATCCCCCTCCTTCTCTTAATAATAAATATTTTGAGTTACTTTCTTTTTCTTTGATATAAAAATAGTGTAAGCTTTTGTTTAATTGTTTCACATCTACTGTAAACATTATAATTGATTATAGGAAACTATATCAAATGTTGCCCCCTACAGATGGGGTAATTATTGATCACTGGGGTAATTCCTGATCATTGTCATTTCTTCTTATAAATAGTATAAAAAATAGCTAATAAATAGTTAATTGTCTTTTCTTAAATAACAGTTCATATTTATTAAGTGGAACAACTATAAAATATATTTTAACTATAATCACAAAATTTGTTTTTAACTGTATACAAGACAAATGTGTTCTGATATGCACCATTTCTAGCTTGTCTTACCTTGCTTCTATCTTAATTTTATGTGTGTACATTGTTAGAATAATTTTTAAGTTGATAAATTAACCTAATATAAATATGGTGAGAAATTATAAGCCTAAAAAGGATACTAAGCTTCTAGAAAGCAAAAATAGTGAATTTCTTTTAATGATTGAAAATGAAAATTTCAGGGTGAGAGCTGATGCCAGAGCTGAAGTGTTAATCTTTATTCCTGATTTAAATAAACAGTTTTATTAGCTGCTTTTATTTATTATTGCTTATTATTTTTAAACAGCCCATTTACTATAAAAACTGGTGATCAGTAATTACCCCAGAAATGATCAGGATTTACCCCAGAATTGATCAAGAGAAGGGGTAATTCCTGATCACTAAAAATTTGTTTGAAAATCTAATTAGAATTTAAAAGATTTTAAAAGAAGGTAGCATAGGACTCATCTCATATTGCCTCAAATTTCCAGAAAATATTAAAATTCTATCTTGAATATTTTTTTCACAAAATTGATGTTTGCATTTTTTGATCAGGAATTACCCCAGGTCACCCTACCTTTTAGTTTATTTACATTTGAATTCTCTTAAACCTTTCTGTGGCTGCTTCATTTTTTTCTTTATTGTGAGAGTTTACTCAGTGAATGATGATCATTGTCTGATGATGAGCAAGAATAATACCTTTCTTTAACTCATAAACAGTTTTCAATTGGTTCAGACTGGAATTTGTTATCTTAATGCTTTATATATGGTTGAAAATTCTAAGTAATCTGACAAGAAAAAGAGTGACTTAACATTCGTTTTAAAACATATGTTTTTCAAAAGGGCGATTTCTTGGTTACTGATGTTACACTTTGATAGGTTTTTATAAAACTTTTTATAGTGATAAATATTAATAATTTCTTTTAAAAATTATATGAGATGTATTCAATAGCCTAATATTATTATGCATTTAAGAAAAAGGGATGTTAATTATGGGATGTTTTTCACTTACTTAGTTTTATTATACATTAAAAAAAAAAGAAAATTATAAATGTATTATTTGGAATAAAAATATAAAATATGACTTATATCAACACAGAAAGGACGTAGTGTGAAGCATATTTTTAATTTGAAATTCTTCTTCCGTAAGCAATAATGGGATTATTTTTTAAATTTATTGAAAAAAAAACTTCAAATTAATGGGAGACAGTGAGAGTAAACATAGAATGGCCTATTAAAATTGACAAAGTGTGAAAAAGCTCTTGTGACTTGTGTTACAATTTCTATGTGTCTGATATTACAAATACAAAGTATATTAAAATTTTAATTACCTTTTATTATTATTATTACAAAATGCTTAAAAACTACAATTTTTGATTTTATATCTAAAATAGTAAAAAGAAAAAATTAGGAATTTTTTTTTTGTGTAGAGATGCTATTAAATATTTATTTGTTTGTTATGTTGTTTTTGTATCATGCAATTGCTCAAACAATTTGATTTTATAAAACGGCAATAATTATTTTAATGAAGGATAACTTTAAATTGTTTAGGCCCAAAAAATAATTTCTATTCCTGCAAATTTGATTTTAGACAGTGGCTGATTTTATAAATCAGTGATTTCATTAGTAGCCGTCACTTTACTTCAAGTTAAGTATAAAACTATCAACTAAGAATGGAACTTTTTAATATGTTTAGCTTGTAAAAGTACTTTTTAAAAAACAGTTTATTAATTAAATTGTTTACCAAATTTTATTCTACATTAATATAATAGAAAGTCATTAAATAAAGTATTAGTATTATATAACAACTGATTGAGTGAATTTTAGAAATTTATTGCATTAAAATGTGCCTTAGAAATGTTTTGTAATAAAATCTCTTGTTGTTAACATGGTAATTTATAATGATTAATATAATTGTTTTTATTTTCATCTGTATTCTATTCCTTCTTCACAGGTTGCCTGAAATGTCTGGAATTGTAAATGGATCAAAGGTAGAGAAATTGTTTTTTTTAACTCTTGCTCATGAGTTTTATATCTTGCTTATGAGTTTTATATTGCTTATGAGTTTTATATTGCTTATGAGTTTTGCTTATGAGTCTTATATTGCTTAAAAAGATATTCAAAACCTTATGATCCTTTTGTCTTTAAGAGGATATCACAAAGAAAATTTAATGATTTTTTTCTTCTTTCATTATTGTTAAAAAATGAAGTTGCTATTTTAAAAATAATTCTTGGATCAAAATCATACTTTATTTATTTATTTTTTTTAGTTTTCACATTGAAAATTCTGTAGGATGATGTCATGGAAAAAAATGTAAACATGATATATTTTCTGAGAATAATGAAGAAAAAAAATCGCTGCAATGTTTTGCTAGCTTTTTTTTTCCTTTTAAATTATTTGCCTTTAAAACTGTCAGAGACCATTTGTTGGAGAATTAAATGAATGGTGCCTTATATCTTAATAGACACCATTCATTTAATTCTCACTATATGTATTGCATATGAATAAATGAATGGTGCCTATTCATTTATTTATGTGCAATATGAATAAATGAATAAGCACCATTCATTTATTCATATTGCATATGATTGCAGTGTTTTCATTATAGAAAAAAAATGGGTGAGAATTTCTCACCCTTTCTCAAAAACAGGGTGAGATTTCAAAAAGTTAAGTGAGATTTCTAAAAACTAAGAAAACACAAAAACTCGTGGAAAAAAAATCATTTCTTTAATTATAATACATTTTTAATGTCTTCTATTTTTTAAAGCATTGAATATTTTTGGTGCATCATCATAGAAGATTTTGCCTTTACAAGGTATTTGTCCACCTTACATAAGTGGATAAAACATTTGAGCGGTTTACATGAAGAAACCTTACCTACGGTAAACACGTGGTTGCAGAGAAATGTGTTCTGAAAGTGGTTCCGTGGTTGTGTTCTGTTGTTCGAAACGGTTCTGAACAATACTGGTAAATAGGGAAGCTAGATAATGGGGCAGATGTTGAAAATAATGAAAGATCCAGGAAGAAAAGTGAAACGGATTTTATTCTAAATGGCGTAATTCGAAGCTTTTTCCAAAATGCGAGAAATTCGCAAATTTTGAAATTGATTTATAGAATGCGCGAATTTCTCGCGGTAATCATTTTTTAATGCGAGAAAAGAAAAAAATATGCGAGATTCTCGCGTTCTCGCGCTGTAGTGAAAACACTGTATATAGTCTATATAAAATATATATATAGTTGTTAGTCTGCATCTCTGAATATTTAATATTTTCTTCAAATCTGGTGTTAATGTTAATATCTTTAAACATTTAGTTAAATATATCTTTATAAAACATATGAAAAAATGAAACAATTACATGTTATGTATTGATTGATATATTGATTGATTGATGAAATGCATTTGATAAAATATGTATATGATAAAAAATCAGTAAATAATATTAATTAATCAGTTGTTGAGGGAAAAAAATTACGTTCTCTTTGCGCACATAATGTAAATTTAGAAATAATATTAAGATTATATATTGCTTTAAAGTAGGAGTGCACAACCTTTTTCAGTGAAGGGCCACATGCACAGCAGATTGACCAATGAAGGGCCGCATGCCAAAGTGTTTAGACCGACATATTGAAAGCAATTGTTGGTGGTGATTGTTATCTAAACATCATTGTTTATATAACACTAAATTCTTTTTGTCGGTTAACCTTGTAATCTCTTTGCAAAAAATACAATACTTTAAAACGTTTAAAATTAGAAAATGCAAAACTGATTACTTAAGAAGGAAAACAGAGTTCGAAAATCAGAATCAATTTATCAGAAAAAATTTAGATAAATTGAAATAATTAAAAAACTATGGAAAAATTGAAATTTTTTTTA